TTTTTTTTTTAAATTATTTATCATTTCCGAAATATCTATGTCATCACAAAGAGGGCTAGTAAAATAAAAATGAAATGAAAATAAAAGGTTCATAGTCATACACAAATTAATTTTAAATGACGATCTGTTTTTTTCTTTTCCGCGGTAAGAAAACCCGGAAGCCAAATGTAAGGAAAAAGAGTTTGGGCGATGTAAATCGTCAACACCTGAGCACGTGGTGGAGGAGAAATTTCTATTATCTTATTGGCTAACATGTGATTTGGAGGCGTGGCTTCATTGATGGATTCACCCCGGCGCGACTGCCGAACTTTGAACTTTAACTTTGTTTACGCCGCGAGTTCATGAAAGTCAAACATGGAGTCTGAAAATTGGTAGACATTTTAACGAACTTTCAACAGAAAGGAACATCGATACGAGAACTTTCAAGAGAAAGGAACATCGAAATGAGTGCATACTATTGCAAATTAACTTCGTGTAGGTAAATAAGGTTCTTTACAGGCCTGTTGCGCTATTTATATTGGTGGTTTTTGTATTAATTTTTGTACAGCAGCGGCATTGATTGAAGTAGCCGGCGAAAACATCGTAGTAGCCGATCGAATGCGCCGGCCGCCGGCTCTTAAATAAACCCCTGGACATGCATTTTTCTCGGTTTAGAGTTAGCCCTCTGCTCCTTAGGGTTTCCAACACCTTTCTCAGCCTTAAGTCATGCTCTTGTGTACTACGGCCATAAACTACAATGTCATCAGCGATATTTTGACAACCCTTAAAGTTTGTGAGTACTTGTCGAACGACGTGTCTTTAAACTCTAACAATTTCTTTGTTTGCACACCTTATATCCACACACAGATATCCCCATTTGGCTTGGGGACAATAACCACTGGACTCACACAAGGGGTGGAACCCTCTACAGTACACGTTCTATTATATCCATCTCTTCTAACTCCTTAAGTTTTGCCTCTAGTTTAGGCCTTAAACTATACGGTATTCTTCTACAAGGCTGAGCAATTAGCTTTGCATTCTGTCTTTACATGTAACTCAGCCTGGTAGTCTGTCAATTTTCCCACTTTACCACTAAATATCTCTCTGTAGTCATCTTCAATGGAATTTACTGGCAGCGAAATTCTTATAACCTGCAACTCTATTGAGGTTTTCCTGCCCAATAATGGTCTACACTGTGCTTCTGCAACTAGAAATGGCACATTATCTACCTTACGACTACATGACGAAATTCTTCTCCTCTAAAGAAACGGTCACTGGTGGGTTGGATGAGTGATTGCTAATTGCCTGCATGCTGCCTAAACGGCCTTCACAATGAGTAAACAAGACCTTGTTAGTAGGAGAAAATCGGACATAGTTCAGCCAGTACTGCTCCAATCATGGTCAAATTTCAGAAAGTACAATTTCTGAATCTAATGTTATTATTTAAAACATAAAATGTTTTAAACCAAAATCCGACCATAATGAAAAAAGACAGTAGCTGTACAGTACGTCTGTGGATTTACTTTACTTTTTTCACGAATTTCGCGAACGTAAAACCGTGACTTGGCGATCGGGAGAATACTAGCCAGAAAGATGCATCAATATTTTATTAGTTCTCTTGGGATGCCAGGGGGGCAATTCCGTAAATTAGTAAACCAAATGGTAAAAAATTCAAATACATCAAATGTGTATGAGTGATAAATCATTATGAAGCTAATGAGTTATATTTTTGTGAAAAAAAAAATTAAGAATTCACTTACCACATGGAAAATAATTGGAATTCAATATAATTAATTAATATTTTGAAATACTAAAGAAAATGTAGTTATAATTTTAATTTCCAATTTTTTCACTTGCAAAATATCAGAATCTGATTCACTTTTCATTAAAATAATGAATTAGTATTGTATTGTGTGATTTGGTGAAATTTTTTGAATTTTTGTAATCAACGCCATATTTTTAATTAAATATTTAAAAATAATGAAAATATGGATGTATGTCCGTCACAAGAAAATGACATTTGTTTATTTCCTTTTCTAACCAGGTACAAAGAAGTTACCAAAACTCTGTTATAAAGCATACTAGGCATACCAAGTGTATACAGCAAATTGGAAGCCTACCATTAATTACACTAATTAGCAAAACCATGTGACAGACGTACATTTTTTCTGTACGTCCGTAACTGTATGTCCATCACATTGTGTAAAATGTGTTATAACCTATGAAATATGGTGAAAATTTGAAAACTGTCAATGTGTCATATGTCTGTAGTTACAGTAGGCTACATGTTGTGCACAAAACATAATACAACATGGACAATTCTGGGTATGAGCCCTATACTTGAGTTTCTGGTCGAGATCAATTTACTGTAGGCTTACATAATTTCCTCCCTGAAACACATTTTGTCTTATTATTATCAAACAGTGTGCAATATGCACATATTTTCAGTACCAATGGCTTACATACAAACAAAAAACAATTTTGAACTAAAATTTTAAGCAAATATCTAATAAAAACAAACCAGGCAGGCAATACACAAATTACATAATAATGTTATCATCTTGACTATCACGGCTACTCTATCTACTTCATCATAATAATGTCCTGTAATTACAATTACAGCTAACATATGATTATATTATTTTTTTATATTCAAATTACAGGATATTATTATAATGCAAGATAAGACACCTTATTTAGCATGAGTAACCATACAGTCATCTTGATTAACTACAATTACTATGACTTTTCTTGTATTGCAAAAATGTTGTTCTATATATTACAGGTGTTATAATAATCTCTAATTCCAGAACCTTTAAAATCTAAACTTGCCCATTGCAGGATTCTTTATATACAATGAAGAAGTTAACGCCAAAAGCTAGGACTTGGCTTAATAGATC